TGTGCCACCGTGGCCAGGGACACCCTGCCTGTGCCACCCTGCCTGTGCCACCGCGGCCAGGGACACCCTGCCTGTGCCACCCTGCCTGTGCCACCGCGGTGAGGGACACCCTGCCTGTGCCACCGCAGCCAGGGACACCCTGCCTGTGCCACCGCGGTGAGGGACACCCTGCCTGTGCCACCACAGTCAGGGACACCCTGCCTGTGCCACCGCAGCCAGGGACACCCTGCCTGTGCCACCGTGTCCAGGGACACCCTGCCTGTGCCACCGCAGCCAGGGACACCCTGCCTGTGCCACCCTGCCTGTGCCACAGCAGCCAGGGACACCCTGCCTGTGCCACAGCAGCCAGGGACACCCTGCCTGTGCCACCGTGGCCAGGGACACCCTGCCTGTGCCACCCTGCCTGTGCCACCGCGGTGAGGGACACCCTGCCTGTGCCACCCTGCCTGTGCCACCATGGCCAGGGACACCCTGCCTGTGCCACCGCGGCCAGGGACACCCTGCCTGTGCCACCGTGTCCAGGGACACCCTGCCTGTGCCACCGTGGCCAGGGACACCCTGCCTGTGCCACCATGGCCAGGGACACCCTGCCTGTGCCACCGCGGGCGTGGTGGCCTCGGCGGGTGATGGAAATCCCGAGCGGTCCCCGTGAGTGATTTCGAAAGTGGCTGGTGGGGTGGGGACGTGGGAGGGCACGGTGGAAAGCGGCCACGAGCTGAGCTGAGCTGCTCCTCTCTCACTCAGCCGGGCAGAACCCGCGTGGCTTTGCCAGCAGCCATTCCTCGCGTGGCTCCTCCACGTCTTCTCTCCTCCTTGGTCAGAAAATGCAATGAGGAAAGGGGAACTAAAGGAAGCACAGGGGAAAAATTAGGGTTGGGGCTCATGGGGATGCTCACGTCTCTTCTCTCTCCCTGCTCGCAGACAGGTTCGGCGGGCGACACGGTTGATGGACCCAGCAGAAGCCAAATGGAAGAAGGGCCAATTAATTATGTGGAAGAAAGGCGGCTGAAGGAGGGCAGCGGGCTCAGCCTGGTGAATGGAGGCCGGCCGGAGGCGGGGGGTACCGTGCTGATGGAGCCCAGCAGGTGGTCACCCGGCCAGCCGCCCGCCGCTGGCAAAGCCCACCTGGAAGACGTCCGGAACCTGGTGGCCTTCTCCGCGGTGGCTGAAGCCGTTTCCTCCTACCGGCTCCCGCCGCCCGGGTCGCCGTCGCTGCTGTTCGACTCGGAGATGAGCCGGGGCGGGCTGGGCACGGCGGACGGGGTGCCACGGGGAGAGGACCTGCACGCCCTCAAGGCCGCCCTGGCTTTGGCCAAGCACGGCGTGAAGCCCCCCAACTGCAACTGCGACGGCCCCGAGTGCCCCGACTACCTGGAATGGCTGGAGCAGAAGATCAAGACGGCTCTCGGAGAAGAGCTGGCGTCACCGCGGCCCCGCGCCGCCGCCGTCCCCCCGCCTCCTCCCCCAGAAGGTGCTATTGACCCCCAGCCGGTGCCTGAGGCTGCCGAGCCGTGCCCGCCCGACGGCCTCCCCTTCTCGCAGAGCGCGCTGACCATCGCCAAGGAGAAGAACATCAGCCTGCAGACCGCCATAGCCATCGAAGCCCTGACGCAGCTCTCGGCCGCCCTGCCCCAGCCCGCGGGCGATGGGCAGCCCCCGCCGCCCCCCGCCGTCCCCTTCGGCCCCGGCCCCCTCTGCCCGCCGGGGGCCGCGTGGCAGCGAGGGGACGAGCCCCGGTACCCGCCGGAGCCGGGAGCAGCGCCGGAGCCGTTTTTTGGCGCGGCGCCTCCGCGGGGGAACTTCGCCGCCTCTTGGGGGCTGGAGGCCGAGGGGGCAGCGGGGGCTGGAGACCCCATGGCAGAGCTGGAGCAGCTGCTGGGGAACGCTGACGACTACATCAAGGCGGCTTTCAAGAGACCCGAAGCGACGGCCGGCAAAGTGACAGCCCCCAAAACGGAACCCCCCGATCAAGCACCCAGCAAAGAAGCGCCGGGCGGCCCCCGCGCGCCACCAGAGCCCGACCTGCACAAGAAGACGCAGCTGGTCCTGCAGCAGCATCTCCACCACAAGCGCAGCCTCTTCCTCGAGCAAAGCCTGGCGGCGGCGGCGGCACCGCCGGAGCGGCCGGGCGGCTGGTGGGCCCCCGGCACCGCCGCCGCGCCCCCCAAGCCCTTCGAAAAGCAGCCCAAAGAGAAGAAGAAGAAAACGCCGCCCGAAAAGCCCCCGCCGGCCAAACCTCTCCGCAAGCAAGTGCAGATCAAGAAGGCGAAGCAGAAGGACTCGCAGCCACTCTTCCCGCCCCTCTGGCAGATCAGCCTGGAGGGGTTCCGGGCGCCCGCCGAACCCCCCGCCGAACCCCCCGCCGAAGAGATGCAAACGGAGCCGCCGCCGGCCGTCCCGCACCAGCCTCTTGCACTACCCCTGCCCGCAGCATGCCCCCCGCCACCAAACCCCCCGGACGGCGTCCCCCCGGCTCCCGACTCTCAGGAAAGGGGTGCCCCCGGGGGGGGCCCCCAAATGCACGCGGCGCCGGCGGGCTCCACCGGCTCGGAGGAAGCGCCGGCTGCCCCGCCGCCGGCCGGCTCGGCTCCCATCATGGTGGATGACAAGTTGGAAGAGCTCATCCGACAATTTGAAGCCGAATTTGGGGAGAATTTCAGCCTGCCGCCCCCCGAGACGCCTGCCCCGCCGCCGGGGGGGCCAGCACCAGCCCCGCAAGGGTCCCCCACCGCGGCCACCGCTGCCGGCCCGGCTCCCAGCGGCGCTCCCAAAAGCGTCTCTCCAGGGAAGGGGCCGCTGGCAGAGCCACCCTTCACTGCCCGCTCCCCCAAACAGATCAAAATCGAGTCTTCTGGTGCTATCACCGTGGTGTCTACCACGTGTTTTTACTCTGAGGAAAGCCAAAACCCAGAGGCGGACGACGCCGACAGAACGCCCACCAAGGACGAGGTGCCGCTGACGCCGACCCTGAGCGGCTTCTTGGAATCTCCGCTGAAATACCTGGACACGCCGACCAAAAGCCTCCTGGACACCCCTGCCAAGAGGGCACAGGCCGAATTCCCCACCTGTGACTGTGTTGGTGAGCGAGCAGCCGTGCTGGGGAGGGCGGCAGAGGTGGCTCTGCAGGGTGGGGTTGACCTGGGGTGGATAAGGGAGCCCTGGCATCAGCAAAGCTCCGATTTCTGGGGAGGTATGGCACTCACGTGGTGAAACCCCGGTGCTGTGGAGCTCCCTTCTGGTTTCTCTCCTACTCTCTTGTTTTTACAGTTGGATGGAAATGCCGAGTGCCTGCCTGAGTCAGCGCGGGGGTGGCGCTGGTGCCACTGGCTGTGCCGGGCTGGGGGGGTTGGATGAGCAGCAAAACCAAAGGGCTCTTGGGTTTTCCTTCTATTTAACCCCAACCACCTGAATCCATGGTGGTCCCAGTGCCAAAACCCACCTAAATTCTCTCTCACCTGGTTATTTCTGGTGTTTTCAGCCAAATTCGCTGGTTCAGGTTGCTTTGAGTAACCCAAACTTTGGCTTGATGCTTGTGCTTATCACTGGAGAAATAATTTGCTGCTGGGATGTTGCCTTGTTCACTGGCCAATCCCACTGGGGTGCATTGAGAAATCACCAAACTCTTGGATTTGTGAGGTTCTTTGTGGTTATTTTTGGTGTGCATTGGCATTTCTTAGACTTTGCAGCAGGTGCTAGACAATTCCTACCCAGTCCTTGCAGCCCACCTCCATCTGAGTGTGGGGAGCTGGATATTCCCTCCCCAATATTTAGACTGGACCCATGTGCTCCCCTGGGAGCAGCAAGGAGAGGATTTGGGGGCATCCAGCTGGAAAAAGCACCCCCTCACTGCTGGGAGAGGATGCCCAGGGCTAAGCACAAGCTGCACTTTGTTAGTGGAGCTTATGATTATTTATTTATTTGCTTGTAAACAGCACCAGAAATGAGCCCAAGCTCCACAGAGAGGAGGGAAAGCTTTCCTGAAGCCACTCACACCCAGCCTCGGAGTTTGCCAGGAAAAGATTTGTTTAGGGGCTGGGAGAGGGGGGATTCCCCCCCTTCCACTCCTCTGTTTTCTCAGGGAAAAGCTGTGGGAGAAAGAAATGCAGCAGGAGAGGGCTCGGTGCTTTATTGGGCTGTTGGAGGCTGTAATAAAATGAGCTTTTTCCAAGCATCCCATATTGATCCTTGTCTGGACAGCTGCAGCCCAGCTGAGCCCGGCTTTCTCCTCAGCCTGGCTCCCAGCCAGCTGGACATGATGGGAATGAAAATCAGGGTGGTGAGAGCAGAGGGATGCAAAGACACATCAGCCCTGGCCATGGTGCAGGACACATCCCAGCCGGTGGTTTTGGAGCATCCCAGGGGTTTGCTCTGTGTGGGGCTGTGTGCCAGTGTCCTTCTCCTGCAGCCCCAGGATCCTCTTCTTGTAGCCCAAACCCTTCTCCTGCAGCCCAAATCCTTCTCCCACAGCCCAAATCTTCTCCTGTAGTTCAAATCCTCCTCCTGTAGCCCAAACCCTT